CTGGTCGGAAACTGCCCGGTTCAATCAAACCGACCTTAATTCGCAGAAAATTGGATTTAGAAACGGATGAAGAAAATAAATCACAGCCTCCAATCAGTTATTTAGCCGATGTAGTCCAACTGAAGACTGCTATATTTGCTAAACTTACCATCTCGAGACCACCCTCAGCCCAGTCCTCCAACTCTAGTTCCGAGAATAGAGCTTTCAATCGTGAATGTGTGATTTTAGCCTCATGCGAAGGCATCGCTATACGGATTCTCATCTTTGCACGCTCGAGGCGAATGGCTTCTCGAAGCTTAGGAATTGCCTCTAACGCCTAAAAATCAAATATTGAATAAATATGTGCATTAAAATAGTGAAAACTGGGGCGGATTACTTGTTGCTTTGCATTTCTGTTAGGCTTCAAAGAGAAATGGAGTTCATGAAGAGCTTTGTCGATGACGGATGTTGGAATTGGGCGTTTGGTATCAGGATTCACTACCATCTCCGCAATCAATTGTGACACCTGAATAAACGGAATTCAGGAAATCTTCAAACATCTCACCAACGAAATAGCACAATCTTGTCGCGCAACACCTACATGAAAAAGAAAGGAAAGAAAAAAAAAACAATAAAAAAACACTCTAAAACATACTTCTTTGTATGTTTGATCTGTCTGTGCCTGGCGCTCTTTGTCAGATACTTGCAAATCTCCCTTTTCCAAAATCTGCAATGTTATACATCGTCGGCGATATTCATTTTGGATTAACTACTAAACAGACGTACAATTTTGCAAATTTCTAACTGATCTTCGGTGCCAAATGCTGCTGATAATTCGTCCTTTTTTGCTACTTGCCCTTTGGACACATTTGAGAAGACCGTGTGCGTTTGAAGCACTTCATCAATATTTTTCTCTCTGCAATATAATTGTCACAAATAGGAGCATACGCTACGCTTCCATACGCTACGCTATTAGACATCATGTGGTGCTCATAGCTCAATAGGCTGGCGATTCCAATCGAAGTATCTACAGATGACAATTCACGAGTATGACTGAATGGTAGATCAATATGCCACCAAGCTAACATTCTACATTCCCGCTGTAAAGTAAATTGAATGTGAATAGAGATCCAGGACAACTGAAGCCAAAATGGATTCACATCAGCGGGAAAACTCACCACTAGCAGGTTATCCAGATCTGAATTTTTAGTGATGCTTTGATAAGATAGTTGGGTAACTTGACTATAATATTCAATTCAAACAATAGTGAGAATGGCCTTCGATGTAAGGCGCTTACGAAAGATTGCTGACAATCCGACATCTTCCCGTAATGGCATAACTGAAAGATGATCTTCGGAATAGTCAGTGCGTTTTTGCGATGTACGCTCAAACTCGATTTCGATTTAGAGTCACAATAGCGGTTTCAGTCCTTTGTGGCCAATACAATGACTTGCGGTGACCAGCCTAAGTACAAGTCAGTCTTGTATCCTCCCAGAAGGGGCTAGTTCCACTTAACCGACGCAGAATGGATAGAAAGTTTGATAGGC